TAATTTATTTGTGTATAATGATATGAGAAATTTAAATGAATTCACTATTTTTCTTAATTTAGCTGTCGAATAAAAATACCTACTAGGACACTTTATCGTGTAGTTTTTGGAATTAGTGCCAGTATACGCAAGAACAATAAACCAGAAAAACAAAATACTAACCCAAACACTGTTTCCAATCGCAAAAACGGGTCAAGTTGGATAAAATGGCGTCCAAGGGAGACATATATTAATATTTTTCTTTTTGCTTACACTACGGTCTCTTGTGTGACAGGGCCGGACTTGGGATAGTGACAGAGGTGAATCAAATTAGTTTGGATATACCCTAAGTGGGAGCCATGTCAATTCTCAAAGGGAAGGTCGAGCAGGGTCAAGAAATTTCATTTTGATCAATGACAAAAGTTTCTTTCGTTGGACACGATAGGGCAAATATTAATTATTGGTTTTGAATTTCCTGGTTGTGGGTTCATAATAAAGTTTTGAATATTGATATTATGTTATTAATAAAGATGTAATAATAAGAGAAGTAGACCAAACTAAAATAGCATGTAAGAAAGTATGGTTTTGGGAAGTTTCACTTACTTACGTGTGTGCAATTCACAATTAAAACTGTAAGAAAGATATGCTTCGGCACGAATGGTCCTTATCGGTCGCAGACCACGGCGTGAAGCAACAATTGTGATAAAATAAAGGAAGAAAGCAAAAGAAAATTTCGACGACATTTTTATTTAAAAGCCCAAAAAATAAAATAAATGTTCAATTCAAAATTTATCTTAAGTAATCTCTGACTCCATCTCTGTAAAATAAAAACTCCGGACAGATGCTGCAAAAGGTATGAACAACAAAATGTTTCCCGAGAGAGTTGAGAAACTAGAAATATTTTTGTGTCTAGATTTTCGTCTCAACAATTTTTTGCAGTCTGCAATAATTTTGCTGAAATACGCAAGGTAAGGCTTATTTTAGGTGACTTTTTTGTTACTATCACGCAATTCATAAATCATATGGTATGTAGAATTATTTGTTTATACGTCAAATTATATCCTAAAATATGTGACAATCCATGTTTTGTACTCATGTTTCTACGTGCCAATATATGTTTGGTTTAGACATTTTGTGACGGTGTAGCTGACAAAAGTTCTGACGGACCTGATGGACAGCAATTAGCCATTTCCATGGATCCTTCTGTTTGTGAGTTAGAGATTTGAGGATTGGGGGGCTTGAGGATGGAAGAAAGGTAAACTTAAGGTTTGGACCTCCGATAACCTCACTCACAATGCAAAATATATCACCAATTTGTGTGATTTGGTAGTATATTAGGAATTATTTTGCAGTAAATCAAAAAGGAGTAGAAATTTTAAGTACTTAGAATGCGTAGCCCTCAAATTTTAAATGAAATAATAGGTTTAACAAATATATATTATTAAACAAATATATGGGTTGTATGAATATATGTCATAAGTAATATACAGGGTGTAAAAAGACACTTAACGAAGCCGTTAACTACGCATACTGCAGTTTGAACCTACGCACACAATGACACGAAGCCCGTTTGCTTTACATTGCGCGCAGTAAAATTATTTTTTTTTTTTGATACCTAAAAATAAAAGTCGTTTCCCAGTGATAATTTTAGCGTAAAGCTACTTAGTTAGAACTGCGGTATGCGTAGTTAACGGCTTCGTTAAGTGTCTTTTTACACCTGTTTGTATAATATTTAATTATATTTCTAATGATGTACTGAAATGCATTTTATAAAAAGTAAAACGCGATAATACTTAATATTATTAATATGGACCTATGTATATGTATTTTGAATGTGTCAGTTTAAAAAAGAATATAAAAAATAGGATCGTAATAAAAACTATATAACACGATAGTTTTGCGTGCACTATGTGATAGGAAAGTATTTTTATGATTTATGTAGTGCAAAGAGCATTGTACTAAATCCCAGTCCTATTTTAAAGATTCTGACTATGTATTTTTACTGATTTATTCTATTAATATATTTGTATAAATGTATACGAAAATACTCAGTCTGACAGTCGTGGTGGCCAGGACGTAAAGACTGCTCTTCATGCTTGAGGATGTGGATTCGTAACCTAGGAAGTACCAATGTAACCTTTCCCAATTTATACGACATACTCGTATGTACGGTAAGGTGTAGTTGCCAGATCTGTGCCAGTTGACATACGGTGAAGGAAAACACCAAGAGGAAACCTGGACTTACATTTTCAACCAGACCCTCGCTCAGCAGTTAGCATATAGAAGGTGATGATGATGATGAGGACCAGGGTGATGATTTCTCCTCTCAAAATAAAATTATGTAGAATCGTTTGATAGCAGAGCGTTTAATTTCATTTATCGTACTAATATTATAAAAGCGATACTTTGTAAGAATTGATTAATACATTTTTGTTTATCTTTTTTTACGTAGGTAAACATAACTTTTTTTTATGGTATAAGTCGGCAAACGAGCATACGGATTACCTGATGGTAAGCAATCGGCGCCGCTCATGGACACCCGCAACACCAAATGAGTTACGAGTGCTTTGCCGGCCTTTTGGGGATAGGGGTTGCGGATAAAAGGAACGGGAAGGAATAGGGGAAGGGGAGGGATTGGGCCTCCGGATAACTGAATGGATATTGAAGAAAATTGAGACTGTGATAGGCAATTATGCGATATTATGTAATTTTTTGTAAATTTTCGTGATTAAGTCAATTATCCTTAACTGATTAGTCTTTCAAATCACTACATAGTGCAAAATAAAGTCGCTTTCTCTGTCCCTGTATATCCCTATGTATGCTTAAACCTTTAAACTTACGCAACGGGTTTTGATGCGGTTTTTTAATTGGATGCTGTTTTTTAATAGATAGTGTGGTTAAAGAGGAAGTTTTATGTCTATAGTTACATCTATTAAATTGTGGACTTTAGTATCAGCACGCAAATCCTGGGCAAGTTGCTGTTAAAACTATATTTCAGTACCTAAGCTAATAAAATTTTGTTAATCAAAATAAAATAGGTACGTTTTATGTTTTAAACTACAAAATTCGTACCAGTTACGACTAGATAATTAAACCAATCGTTATTTTACCCATTGTTAACGATAAATAGATAACTTTTATCGACGTTTAGCGATCTTTAACGATAGCCGCACGCAATTTGTTACTTTGTGTTTAAAATTGTCGCTATTTTCTGTTTTAGGTCAATAGGTTGAATTTTAAATCGATTTGTTAACGTTGGTGGTATTTTAATGGCGGATTATTGTACTGCATTGCTCATGTACTTGTTTTGATTGGAAAGTCGTTGTAATGCTTTGATAATTGCTTGCCAGGACTGTACAAGCTGAAGCATTGTATCTTTGAGCTGGGAGAAGTAGCATTTATTTGTTTTTTTTTTTCAAGTTTACCTATTGTCTATGTATCTGCTTAGTAGCTTAACAGCCTAGTCTCTCTACCATTTAAGCTTTATTTTTTTGTATTTTTTTTCTGTGCGACCTACAGTTCTAACCAAATCTTAACCTATCATTTTGATATGCTCCTTGGTGTAAGAGATCGCGACCAAACGAGTAAAGAAATGTAGTAGAAATTATTCGCAATATCCCAAACGTTGTGAATGCGTTGCCGGCCTTTTTGGCGTTTGGGATTTGAGGATTTAGGAATTGGGGATAGTGTGGATCGGTCTTTTGGATGCCTCAGTCACACGATGAAACACACCAAAGGTTTGTTACCGATCCGTTCCAATTTTCTGTGAGCCATGCTTCGGCAAGATCAGGCGATCTGATTATAAAACCGGCATTAAAACTACTATAGCGTTGTTTTACCATTTGAGTAAGGTTACCAAAGGTCAATAATTCCCCGCTCCTCATCCATCCCCAATCCCTAAATCCCCATAATGCCACAGTGCAGACAGTTCACTTGCAGCTCCTCAGTATTACGGATGTCTATGGTCGGCGCTTACTACCAGGAAATCCATCTGCGCGTTTGCCGTCCCATCACAAAAAGTTAATGAGGTAAATAACTCCATTATGAGCATCTAAAACCATTACTCAGCGAAGGCTGTTACCTCTTAAAGGCATAAAATGTAAAGAATAAGATAATCCAAAGAGTTTTGTCAAAATATTCCATAAAAAGTTACTTTTAACTGAGAGTTGAAACTAAATGGATTATAAACATTACTTGAGTGTCTACCTTTTTTAATCTGTTTACAAGTTTATCTTTTTCTTATTTCTTCTTTCGAGTTGGACGTATACTTTAAATTGCTTTTTAGGGTAATTACAAAAAATATGGTTCCATGTTTAATGTAGATCTTTGATATTTCAGATTACAGGGGGCAGATTTCTTTTTTTATTTTTCTTACTTGCTAGTTTCAAGTTGCAACTGAACCATGTATAAAACTTTACATTAAATTTACCACAAATATTATTATTACCCATAAATATTATTTATCATCATCATCATGAACATCATCAGCCTATTAGTGCCCACTGCTGAGCAAAGGTCTCTTCTCATACGGAGAAGGTAAGAGCATTAATCACCACGCTTGCTCAATGCGATATGTGACATGCGAATGCAATAGATATTATAAGTCCAGGTTTCCTCGCGATGCTTACATTCACCGCATGTCAGTAGTGTCTAAATAATCATACAAAATACATATAACTCGGAAAAATTAATGGAAACCCTCATGCATGAGAAGCAGGCCCCTCAACCAGCCACCACGACACAAATAAATATTATTAATTCAAAGTAAATACAAATTTATGCATTTTAGAAGTTTTATGATATTATAGTGTATTGATATATTTATAAACACAACAATATTTTTTAATACAAGTTTTTTTTTATGAAATACTTAGTCAGCAATCGAGCAGACGGATTGTCTATAAGCGATTGTCGCGTGCTATCGTTTTCAGATTTACTAAATACGTACTTTTCACATAGAAACAGACGACTTAGATTTGTTTCAATATATTTACATTATATAATATATACTATATACTTACGTATCTATCGTGGCGTTGACCGCCGTTTTACTGCCAACCCTCGCCGGGTTGCGGATTACTGGCTCTGGAAAGAAACAAATAAAGTTCAAGGTCAAAACCATAAAGAATTTAAGTAGTTTGAACTAGATACATGTAGCGACACTCTGTTTGTTATAAATTGGATACTGGTTAGAAGTAGAACCTGGTCAGTAAAAGTAACCGAGAACATTGTATTATTACTATTTTTTAAATCGTTGCCCCACACTAAATTTTAAGGTACTCCTGTTTACGTTTATAAACATACAATATCAAACCCAAACTGGGAACAACCATTTTTGCATCACACAAAGGGTTGTTAAGTACGGGAACAGAACCCGCGGCACGTTGCGCGGCAATCAGTTGCCCAGCGACCGCGCCAACCATGCAGTTGAAGAAGAAAATCTTAGTGTGGGGCAACGTTTATATATTTTTTAAGAAGAAATAAGAACAAAATCTCTATATCGTAAGATCATTCATTGTAGTTTAATATTATTTTAATACTAGCTCTTACCCGCGGCGTCGCTCCCGTCATTTAAGTACCTACCCTACCTACCCTACTCTATTTACCCTACTCTACCTACCCTACTCTATCCTATGTCCTTCTCCTAGCTCTAAACTACCTCCCTGCCAATTTTCAGCTAAACGGTTCAGCCGTTCTTGAGTTATAAGTGGAGTAACTAACACGACTTTCTTTTATATATATAGATTATATATATAGTATATGTGTATTGATACCGGGTTAGTTCGAATTGCTTAACCAATAATATGTAACCTAGAACTGAACGTATATTAGTTTTTCATTGGTTTGAAAGCTTGAATCAAAGTTATCTTACAGGGTTAAAGTGCCACAAAGTAACGGTAAATAAAGTATTCATTTGGTGCTACAAAAGACACAAACCACAACATTTAATGAAAAACAAGATCCCTGAAAAATTATTAAATATTGAACGTTTCTCGTTTGCCTTTCTATCACATAAAAATAGGAAATAACCTATTTGTAGATAACTGACTGACATTGATTTAAGGATGGCCAAATTTCTAACCCTCAAACAAACTGGCTGTCGAAGATTTGACAGTAAACGCCCCAAAAGAGGTATTAAGTAAAGTAGGTAAACAAGAAAGAACCTTGACCCTTCAAATGGCGTGCTCGCTAAATATGACACGAAGGTTTTGGAGACCAATTGAGTTCTCAGGTCGCTACTATGTAAGCATTGCAGTTTGAGACGAAAAAGTGTTTAGTCATACTACTAGTAGTACATAAGTATATAGTTTTCTCAAGTAAGCTAAAGTATTTACTTTAGCTACTTACTATTTAGTAATGAATACCAACAATTGGGTACTTTTCTGGGTCAAAAATAAATTAATTCGACGTTTTAATACAATAAAATATTGAAAAATAACTATACTTTTATTCATCAATCGATTGATTCACTAAGTTTTAGATATTTTATAGCTAAATATTAAGAAATAAGCAAGCGATTTGACTACTACTATGACGTCATACCTCAGTTTTTCATACAACTTTCATAGAAAAGTATCATTTTTGACATTAGGATAAAAGTATTGAATTTGACTAGTTGGAAACTACCGAATTATTTTTGTTGATATATATAATAAATAATTCAAATATACTGGTTGTTAGAGTGAAGTGTTTGAGAAACGCTCTACCAGTTTCAAGTCATACCGGGACTCTTATTCGTGATCAATTTTATCGTCGTTCAACCCACTAGTATAATAACATAAAAATAGAAAAATATAGGATTGCTGATTAAGTCGATAGGATTCCATAAAAATTATGACGATATTTAATTGATAGATCTTTATCATTTTAATATTATCAGCAAAATGTACCTTCGGAAAAAGACAGACGTTATATAATAGCATAAAACTTATTCTCGAATAAACAGTTCTAGTAAAATAATATTATAACAATACTATTCCTCGTTTCTAAGTTTGTTCGTTCAACAAATCGCTATTATGTTTAACATAGATATCAGTTTTCTGGATGGTACCGACCAATACTGCGCAAAATACAGACCAAATTGAAGGCAATTCGCGATAAAAGTTTTATATCTTTGGTACTACGAGGTAATACTAGTTGTAAAACTAATAAAATGTGAACCTTTAAGCCTTAGTATTAACCTGTGTTACATTTTTAGTATTACTGAAGCGGTTTCGTAAAGCTAACGATAAAAATAAATTTATACGGAAGTTAGACTTTGTCACGCTTGAAATGTTAAATAAAAAAATGGCATCTACTTAAACTATCTAATGTAATGTAGAGATATATATAAAGAATAGATAGAATGTGCACAACGGTGTTATTATCATGCGAATTGTATATATTTATTTTTTTTAAAACGGGGCCCCATCTACGATTTTCTCCTGTTTCATAAAAGTAGATGTTTTCAAAAATAAATAGACTTTTCCTTAGTATCTATTTTTTACTTTTCCTTAGTATTTATAAAACAAAAAGTCTTTTTCCAATGCCAAAACAATAGACAGTTTCTTCATTCAAATTTCGATCCTCTCACAAACAGCATAGAAACGCAAATCGTGTGCTAAAAGTTTATTCTCGTTTATTATAATAATAAATTCACTAACCACATCTAGCGAGTTAGTTTCCTTGTAGCCATTAGTGTTTTTAGCAATTAGTAACATATCCCTTCCCTCTGTGTTGCCGTTCTCAACGTTGTTTCATTAAATTGTTTTAGCGAGGAATTGTATGGAAATATACTAGCTACTCTTGCGCGATTTCATTCGCTGCTTGGCTCCAATTAATCGTAGCGTGATGTCTTATAGCCTATAGCACTCAAAAACATTGTAGCTATCTATCAGTGAAAGAATTTTGGATATCCGACCAGCGGTTCTAAAGATTACCCGCTACATACAAACTTACAAACATGTAAACTTACAAATTTTACCTTAGTACTTAGTACTTTATAATAATAGTATTGATTTGCGTTGGGTAAATATAGAAATGTAGAAGCATTTTTTTCTTATTATTATTCTTTTAAAATACGTTGCCTGGTACTAGGATTTTCTCCTGCATCGTGGGTGCGTTTACAAACATACAATTTCACAGACACATCACATTTAAACCCTGAACAATAATTACTGGATCACACAAAACGTTGTTCCGTACAGGAATTGTACCCAGGACGCGTTGCACAGCAGCCAGTGCGCAATTACTGCGCCAAACGTGCAGTCATTTTACGAAAAAAAATCCGATTAAGCTTGATTACTGATTACAACTGATTTCGCTGGACCCAGAGTCTGATCTTACCCAGTCTCCTAGAGCAATCGAAAGCTAACCATGCAGCATTATATTTTTACCTACTTCAAAAAAGGAGGAGGTACTATGTTCGGCTGATTGTGTTTACATCACACTCAGACCTCAAAGAATTATTCCATGCGGGTATCGAACCTGCGACACGTGGCATGGTAGCCAGTGGTCCATCTTGTCAACCGTGCACTGTTTTAAGTGTGGGAGAGCTTCGGCACGAATGGGTCAGCTCGACCGGAGTGATACCACGGCCTCACAAAAAACCCGCCGTGAACCAATTACATAGGCGGCGCCGATTGCTTGCCATCAGGTAATCCGTCAGCTCATTTGCCGACATATCACATAAAAAACTCTTTCTTCTTATTTCCTAACTGTCAGGCCTCTGCCCTCTCGTTTCAGTGTTTAAGTCTTGTGAGTATAGCAATTAACTCTGAAACCTAAAAATACACGCCAACTTGCCTCTTTCTTCCTGTATGGTGCTTGGGGTAACAATGGGCTTGTTGCTTTACTTCAGCAAATGTAGGGTCGATTTTTCTTATGATGAGAAGATTTGTTTGTATGTCTGGTTAGACTTTAGACGTTTAAATTTTGAGTCTATTGGTATTTTGTGAAAATTTTTGTTGTGTAATGGTTTCGAAATTTTCTGTAATTTGGGATTTAAGTAAAATAGATGTCGTTACTTTTTACTATTCAGTATTAATTATTGTAACGCGGCATCCTAAACGGTTTGTGTCGGACGCATGCGCGTGGCGTTATAGGCAACGCCACACCCCTCTTCCACTACCTCGCCACTGACCGCTCGACGCTTGCGTAGGCGCGAAACGGGAGTGAGTCCCCGCGCCGGCGACCGTGACGCACGCGCCCTTGTATTTGTGCCGCGAACTTTGAGTAATTGTTGTTTTAGTATTAGTTTACCTGTATAAAGTGTCTCAATATACTGTTTTTACTGTTGATCGTGTGTCGAACCTTATTTCACACCCCCGAGACTATATATACACCATTATATTATTCTTTACTCGCGACCCGTCCTGGTTTCGCTCGGGTGCAATTCTGATACTAAATATCTCTTTTTAATGGATGTTATTATATATTTTATATAAATCTTAAATCTTGAAGCACTCTATCTATAATAAAAACACATGAAAATCGTATATAGGGATATAGGGACAGAAATAGTGACTTTGTTCTATACTATGTTGATTGTGATTATTGACTCATCGGTCTTAATACTGTTCCAATCTAATGCATACTCTTTCGAAGGTCACAGATTGTATTTACAGAGAAAATAGAGCAATTATATTTATTTCACAGCCATTATTTAATACAGTCATCGCTAAAAGGGGAAAATAATGTAATAATGGTCTCGTATTGTATAATTAATTTACTTTTATAAAACTCTGGTACAACACTCTATCGAGCGAAACTAATTCCCTTCACCTTCAGCAAGTTTGTGGATTTGTTTATAGCTGGTTGCCATGGCAACCGAGCCTGCCCTCACGATCAACTGCTTCCACGATGTTACTTTGTTTTTCTTATTCAGAGGCGCGTAATTTTGTTTTTTTTTTAGTCGAACCGAATTTTCTACTAGCCATTATGGAAATTCAGTAAGTTGTGCGCAAACAGTAATGAAACTTTATGAAGGCTTTACTTACAAGGTACGACGATGAGGTCAATATTTTCTCAATCCACCCAGACCTGAAGCAAAAATTTTTGGGTCACAAAGTGTTATCCCGTGCAGAAATCGAACCCGCAGCACGTTA